TGTTCTATATGTAATATACAACTCTCATCTTACCTAAGGCTGCTGATCTGAAGAAGAAAGCGTTTGATGAATTTCGTCTTAATATGTTGATTGTTCTTTTGTAGCTTCTTTCAGGGAAGGCAGTGAAATCTTGTCTGACTGCAGTTCCTTTCTGATCCCCTCGTCCCCAGGTCTCTACCGAATGGTTAGCGTGTCGTTAGCGTGACGTACCAGAAGGAACGGAAACGGACCACAAGAAAAGTGCTGGTGGGGGTAGGGAAAACCAAAAGCAGAAATTTGAGCAAGAGAAAAGGCCCCCCAACAATTATGCAAAGTGAAACCCAAAGAAAAAAATTGATACATGACTAAGTGCTCAGCCTCTGTGTAAGTCGAGCAAAAGAAGCAAAGCTGATTTTACAGTAGGGGATATACACTTTTTGTTGCCAATATTTCGGAAGGATCCAGTCCTTCTTTCTTGTAACGTTGGTCCTTGCTTACAAAACTGAATCTATAAAAGTAATGTTTTGATATGTTTCTTTCTGTGGAAAGGGTAAAAACTCAGCTTGAACTGGGGAGGACAAGACAAGTTCAGAAACTGATTAAATCACTCTTGAAGAAAAACATTGCATATTAACACCACCCGGTTAGCCCATTTAGGAGAGGACCGGTCTGCCGAGCGGGAAAGCGTGGGTTCCAGGAGGCCCAACAACCAGAGTCTTTAAAGAACTGGTGAGATGATGCTGGCTGTTATTTAAGACCTTGTCTCAGTTAAGATGATCGCGTCGTTGGGCGGTGACGTTAAGCCGTTGGCCTTGAGTTGAAATGTTTCAGTTGCACTTCTTATTAAGTAACGGTGCTCTTACGCGGGTCAGGCCATTTGTTTCAATGCACACTGCAATTAAAATATACAGTTAGGTCTTATCGAGCCANTCAGTTAAGATGATCGCGTCGTTGGGCGGTGACGTTAAGCCGTTGGCCTTGAGTTGAAATGTTTCAGTTGCACTTCTTATTAAGTAACGGTGCTCTTACGCGGGTCAGGCCATTTGTTTCAATGCACACTGCAATTAAAATATACAGTTAGGTCTTATCGAGCCACTGACTTTGATTATTGCAGCGCTGTATGTGATGGCTAGACCCAACAGCTTACTGAGAAACTTCAATTAAACTTTAATTAATTTTCTATGTTAGACTGATGTTTTTGACCATTTATAAATAAAATTATCATTCATTCATTCGGTCCAATTGGTATGCAAAAAAGGAGCTAACTTTACTATTGTCTGTACTATACTTCTGATTGGCTTAAACAGCAAAAGTTAAGAAAACTTCAGAAAGGAGTATATACATGTATATTTATCCTTACTTTCCAACCAACTTCCATACAGTAAAATCTCATCTCAGTCGGAATAACACAGAAATCCTGTGCGGGGAACATGTAAAATTGCAAACTTTTCTTGGCCATTGTTTCCAACTCTTATGATTGGTCAAAATCTTTTAACACAGAAAAACACCTTGTCAAAATGAAGTATAATAATTTAATATAATACTGATTAACCTGAGATCAGGCCCAATTTTAGCAGTTCTCATACATTCCTCTATATGTTGTCTCAGGTTAAACAATATCAAACAAGAGGTAATCATTGATTACGGATCCGCGTTCGTCCGTACTTACGGAATTACTGAAACGATCGATAAAATTAATAGTGGTGGCTACTTTGCAATCACCCGTGATAGCTCGAAAATGTCTGCCTTAGTGCCACAGGTACACCAGATTAAGATTATGACAAACGCGATAATACTTTAATTATCCTCTCCCCTTATGGGGCGTTTCAGGGATAATGTAACAAATAGAAAATATAACATGGGAAAAAATTCCAACTGGTAGGAGGCACACCAGTTGGCTATGTTACAAGCGTGGCCGAGGATTTACAGTCGGGACTACAGAGAACAAATCCAGCTAGCAGTCAGAGCGGGACTTGAACTCTGAGCCTCTGAATTACAAGTCCAGCGGTCTAACCACTCGGTCACGCTGCCTCCTAATCTAAATACATTTATTGACATAAACATTCTATCGCTTACACGGCCTTTCTGTAGGTTTATATATTCTCTGTGTAAAAATGAAAACTATGTGGGGAAAGCACATTGCCGCATAACAAAAGAAAATGCTTTCCACCTTACTCGAATCATATCTTAAAATTGTATTTCCATAGCGTCGTAAATTTTGACCAAAATAAATAGAAAGGGGTTAACGAGTCACGTGACTAAGATAGTGCATGAAAAAGACAGTAAAAACACAAAGTTTTTAACTGAACGTAAATTCCTCTTTAATCCATGATCGCCCCCTCACCAACTTCAACTGAACTAATTTACTTGATTTAATAAAGAAAGCACGAAATGAGCTTTGGCAGTCCGCAGGCATCCCATACTAACTATTCTTACTGGGTGCCGTCACGCACAAACGCTCCCTGTGCCCGTGGAACCCGTGCATTTAAATTGCGGAGCATCTGTGGATCCGCGGGGATCTAGTTGTGCATATATTTGTGAGTTCAGTATAAACTGGCTTGTTTCATGCTGTTTATTCCTCTCTTCGTTAAAAAGGACACTAGACACCTAGTTTGTCGCCCCACCCACCTCCCCGCAGCTATGGTACACTCTGGCGCCTTTAGCTCCCGCTCCTTCCCGCCTATATGTAACGCTTGTTAATGTATCTAGTAGTATTGCGATACTTGACGATTCATAAAGTTTATATTTGCAAACTTGAAAATTCGAGAAAATCGCCACTGGGGTAAATCAACAAACAAAGCTATAACAATACTTTATTCAAATACATACAAATATAAACATGAGGCGGACCGCGAGGAAATATACAGTGAAATATGAGCTATTATGTCAATAAATGTTCATCCACCTTAAATTTGTTAACATTATATTTCACCAGTAAAGAGAAGGTTTGGTGAATTGTTCCAGTGTTTGATGATTCTCATAAAGAGGGAATACTTCAGGGAGTTAACTTTAACTGATCGATCTTACCTAAGACTTACGAAATTAATTTCTCTTTTCCTGCTACCAACTGTACGCTTTAGTAGGCCCACCACTTTGTTGGCCTTATTCACTATAACATCCACGTGATTCGACCACTTACTCTCTTACTTACCTTTCCTATAGTTTGTGTCTTTCTAGTGTGTTTGTGTGTGTGTTTGTATGTCTTTGAAGCGATCTGGGCTGGTTTTGCGATCTTAACCTGTGTCACAAAGTCCGTTTCATATAGTGAGCTCGAAATGCCGTGAATTTACTGTCTAGCATGACGTGCGATCACCTAACGTTAAGTTCCCTGATTCGTGGTTCTTTCGGAAAGTACACGTGAAAAAGCCGATTCGAATTTAGCTGGTAATATATCTATTCATATAGTGACCCACATTGTAACATGCCAAAAAATGATCTTGCTTCTCAGGCTGGGCTGATGCGTTTCTAAGATTGTTTTAAGGCTTTACCCACACTCTTATCAACGCCAAGAAAAAACATGAACTGAAATCGGACGAGACCTGACACTAACTGAATGTAATCAGTTAGAGATAATCTTCTGCAATAATGGATATTAGATACATGATTCGTGATATGAAGGAAAATAGGGTCCTTATTCGCGACTAGGACCTCTCCCCTTTAAAAACCTGACTTATTCAATGGCTAAAGGAGGAACGTGTTTAAAAAGGTCAAATTTAGGGTGCGTTCGATTGGGAAATCTTCATTTAGATTTCAAACTCCGGATTTCGGATAATTAGCAAAAAGAAGACCCATGTTTACGAGAATAGTTTTGCAAATCCTTTTTCGGATTTCCCAATGGAACGGTAAAAAGGAAATCCATGACATCCGGATTTGGATTTCTTTGTTGGAATCCATCCTGAGAACGGATTTCTCGGAGGTGAAATCCGTTTGCGCTTTCGATAGCAAATTCCGAAATCCGGATTTCCCAATCGAACGCAACCTTAGTATACTTATAATGGTCAAACTTTTCACGGTATAATCTTTCAAACTAAATACAATTGCTAATTTGCTTCCTGAATGATGCAATAAAATACTTTATACAACCTTACTTTCAAAAAAAGTACTTAATTTACTTAATTTGCTTTTAGCAAAAATCACTAGCAAATTGGAGCGTCCTATAACAAAAACGCCAAATCCGGTACAAGCTGCTAGCACGAGATCACGATGTCTGTAGAACAACGTAGCACAAAGCACTGTTAGTAGTGTTTTCAACTGAGGGGTAAAGTGCATTGTTTATTTGTCAGAATTGACCGGCGGCCAGACCATTCCCGTGGTAATAAGAATTTCAATTTTAACTGAAACTGTCCAGCCTGAGATAAGTTAACTCATGAATAATATAAATCGGTTGATATGTTATTTTAGCCAAAAATCCTTTAAAAAGCCTATTTCAATTACAAAATAATCAGTCCGGCGCCCTTAAACTAGTAAGGTTTAATTCATAAGTTAATACAATATAGCAAATTATAAAAGACTCTAATCAACTAGGTAGAATGACGTAACCTTTTAAAACCTAACTACTTTTACGAGAATGGTAAGAAAAACACAGGTAGTTTCTAGTATATCAAAAAATGATTCAAAGAAGGAGAAAGTAGGTAATCATTAGTACGCACATTTTCCAAGGATTTTTACAACAACAGGGTCTAATGGTGGAGTATTTCCAGGGGACTGCAGGCATGGTGGTGGCCCTAAAACCAAGCTCTATTAAGAACATGCACTACAGTCATTTATCTAAGAAATTGAGGGGGCTGTGTGAATTTTTTTAGGTAGAAAATATTTTGTTATGAATACTTAGTATATTGAAACGGCTAATTGTGCCGTCATAAGAAAATTGGCGGATTAAAAACTACATATGAAAAAATAGACGTCTTCTTTCTGGCCAACATCTTTCAAATAAGGTACCACAATAATGGTTCAGTCAGTTGTTCCACTCAAATGTCTTCCATTTAATATTGCAAGGTCGTAACTCTTGTATCGCAGTATAATCAGATATCTTTACCTCCTATCTGTGGAATAAGGCTAACATAGTGAAGCTCATGCACGTGACCCAGCACCAGCCGGTTGCCAGCGGTAACATCAAACTCTGGGCAGATCATTACGTCATGGCGATGCGGAAGACTGCTGATCACATGGATGCACGTTCGAAAACAGTTTGCCGCGCCGTGTAGAACAACGTGATCACCCCATGTACCATCTGCCATCATACTTGTGAGGTAGGCATCCCAAGATGGATATCCATCAACAAAATGAAACAGTTCTGTCCCATCCGGCTGTTCGAAAGAAAATACTGTAGTTAATAGAGAAAAAGGTAGAGTACTTTTGTAGAAGGTATATATTCAGGCAGCTCCGCTGTCAGCTCTCTATAAGACGACACCATTAGTATCGGCACTAGAAATAATATGTCCACCTCGGTAGTATTAAGGACACACCAGTTAGACGTCTTTTTTTGAAGTGGAATATATTAACGTCGATGACGTCTTTATCTCCTTTGTGCGCCAAGAATCAGTGAACCGGAACCAGAACAATAAAGTTATGATCATACTATACCAGGTAAGCTTTGGTGACGACACGACACGAAAAGCCAGTATAATGTGAACATCTATCCGATATGTGACTCTCCACTTTAGAGATCGGCACGGCCTCATTCCCTTTCGTAATCAGTCTTTTTCCATTTTTAACGGTCGATGCCAGCATTAGTAACCAAGCCTTTAGTCATCATAGATGTAATATATTCCCTGCATTTAGTTACAAAAAGGCAAATAATACGTTTTTGAATAGTGCTAGAAAACGGCGTTGGAGCTAAGTTGAATTTTCGTTAAAATTTATGGAAAGGGCTAGGGTCACCTGTTATTGATGTAACAGTTAAGAAAGACAGTTTGTCAGTGTATGTACTTAAATTTTTTCGGCATTTTGGGGGGGTCGGTGGAGTAGTCTAGTGGTAAGGGCGAGAGATTAGGATACGAAAGCTCCGGGTTCGAGGTCCGGGTTTTACCTTGGGTTGCGATTTTCTTTCTTTTTTTACAGAAACACTCTAAATAACAGATCAAAAATTTTCTTAGTGTCTAAAAAATTGCAGCGACCGTTTTTCGAAAGAGATAGCTGCATCGGCGCGTTAAAGAAATCGCGCCGAAATCACCGTTCTCATGTGTGAACTGAAACCCCATCCAGTATGATTTTCGTACCGGCGAAAAAGCTATACCGTATAGTGTGAAGACAGCCTAAGATGTCTGCAATGGACAATGAGGGCATCGTGGTTCAGTGATTTTAAGTCAAAGGAGTCTTCATGACCAAATAAAGACATGACACACAATTTGGACTAATCTATGTCAATATAAGGGCATGATCCTTACAAGCTATATAAATGGATGTACTAAATACTACGTAAAAATAGCTCGTGGCGTTATGTTAATGAGATTCAACCGCATTTTGTTCACGAGACAGAGAGAACATTATTTATTCCACTTCATTTTAATGAGGTTTTAGGGAGGTGTCCGTTACACGTGTAAGAGAGAGGGGGGTAGGGATGTTAACTATCAAATTGCTTAGTGACGGGCCACGCGCATATACTGCAAAAATGTCCACTCTAAAAATAATAAAACAGAAAAAGGCAATTACCAGCTTAGGATTTTCCCGAAGTTGTTGAACAATAGTTCGGCGTAACTCATCGTGGGAGATTTTGATTCCTTTGATAAGGTCAAGCTGTTCTGAAAGTGCAAAAACATGCAGTTTCCCCCTCCTTGATTGTCAGAAATTGCAAAACCTTTTTCCAACGCAATCCTCTTCAAAGCCTGCGACAGCTCAGTTTTGCTGGACTCTATGCGTGCTTCCCGTATGATTTGTCGAAGTACAATAAAAATGGGTTCGCCTGTAAACGAAAGATGAAAAACTTAACATAAGATAGAGGTTATTTCATGGCAGTTTAATAGGAGATGCTGCACTGGTCTGAAGCTCAAAACAGCAGACAATTTCAGTAAAAATTACTGTGGTCTCCAAAGAACTAAATAGCCTCACTGTACTGCAAAAACATATTTTGGCTTTGGTTTGAGTCTCAAAGCAAACAATGGCATTACCTGCCATCGGTCCTGATGCAGCATCCTTTTCAAAGTCATTCTGTGGAACGTCATCTTCTTGGGTTTTTTCAACACCTGTGAAGTTTAAAATCTGCAGTGAATTGAAAAGGTTTGGCCTGTAAGCAGGAGAGGGAAACAGTTAGTCTACGTAAGTTTACTTGGAGATGCACCCCAATAATTGAAAGTACCCTGGTTCAACAGAAGAAAATAACCTCACTCCGCTGCAAAAAAAAAAGAACGTTTGACATTGGTTCAACTGACGAAGCAAACAATGACATTACCTGCTATTGGTTCTGTTGAAGTGTCCTTTTCAAAGTCGTTCTGTGGAACGTCATCTTCTTTGGTTTTTCCACGACCTGTAAAGTTAAAAAAAAGCGATGATTTACAGAGGAAAATGTCACTCTTCAAAAAAAAAGAAAGATTTCAACCTCAGAAGCCCCCCTTTCATTTTTGGTGACAAATTATAAGCCAAAAGTTTAGCTAGTCTTTTTTTGCTACGTTCTTTTTGTATACAAGAGAACACCACCACTGCTACTGCATATGAATAGAAATCAAATGACTTTGATGTATCGCAATGTTATGGATTTTAATTTTCATGTATCGCTAGCCAACATTTTATAAAATTATAAATAAAAGTCTTAAAAATGAAATTGATCAGTAACACAAGAAGTGTACGGAGAACGGTGTGGAGAATGTGAATGCCACCATTGAGGTTAAAAAGGTCAACGGCAACATTTCTTCAGCGATGCACATGGACCACGATACATAATATAGTAAAAATGTATTTATGCACTCGCTATTGCAGAAGCAATGGACATATACAATTTGATTTCTTACCATAGACCATCTTCCACATTCTGGCGAGAGGGACCTGGCACTGTCTCTCCCAAGAGAATCTTTGATCATAACTTCTTAGCAGTCTTTGGATTTCCTCAAGCCGCTGTGTCCTTGATTTTTGACGGATGGCTGCAATTGCTTTTGCCCATTCTTTGGAGTCATCAGAGTCGATCACAAATAACTCAGCCATTGGAAGTTTACGCAGTGTTTTTCCAAACCCGGAGTTTCCACTAACCACAATGGGAAGACCAGCTAACATGGCCTCCAATGCTGTCAAACCAACCCCTCAGTTCTTGATGGCATGATGGCCAGATCGACAGCACAAAACAATTCTCTCAATTTTTGTTTGTCTTTCACAAACGATTTCACAATCAGCTGGTTCTTTGAAATGCCAGTCTGGAGTAAGTTTTCTGCGACTTTATCCTGCCTTCCCTTGGATGCACCAACGAAAATCAGAATATAGGAACTGTCCTTCAGTTCAACTATGGATTTAGCGGCAATGTCGTATCCTTTAAGACTAAAGTCTTCCAAATCACCGCGACCGAAGCTCAATACTCTGAAATTTACACCATCATGTGCAGCATTTTTAATATTTGAGAACTCTGCAAAGGAACCTGGTATTAGTTGACAGATATCTTGATGATATAAACGCAACTTGCACGAGAAAGCTTCTTTTAACTTGGGTCCAACGGCTACAACGAGGTCTTCATTTTGACAAAGTCCAACTTCAGCTGTGTTCTTCTCTTCTCCCTTGGCAATGGCACTTGGATAGTTCTTATGCATCGCCAGCTGTTCAGGCTCAGTGTGAACAACCTGCACCCAATTGCAGTGATGAGATTTTCTGATCATTTGTGCTTGTTTGCCAAGCTTTGCTCCATGGCCGATGACAACCTGAATGTCAAGGTTCTCTGGTGGAACGATCAACCAATCAAGAGGATCACTGAAGCCAGGAAGATGCCCTGCTTCTACAATGGGAATGTTGTAACTTTTGGCAACTCTCTTGTCTTTTTCTCCACACTCAAATTCAGGTACAAGAATGGTCACTTCTACGTGTGGGTCTTTTGCCAAATGTATGGCAAGAGTTCTGTTTATTGTGGACAAGCCACCTCTAGACAACCCCCATTCGTTCTCCAGGAGGGTAACTTTCAATATTAACCGTTCTGAATGACCTTGTTCAGCATCAGATGATGACGATGATGATGGTGGTGGTGATGATGGAGTACACAAGTCCTGTACAGAAACCAAAACTGGAAATTTTAAAATAGAAAGCGTACACCTGGGGTGCTTATCGCTTTGAAAGAAAGTTTGCAAAACATGTTATCATCCAGTTAGAAGCTATAAACTTATCGTTTGACTGTAAAGCAAACAGCTTGTTAAGAAAGACTTGAGAAACGGTTATGAATACCCACTGCTATGGCTGCAGTAGGTATTTAACAACAGAGTTGATGATGTTAATTGGCCACTGTAAAGAGATTCTCAGTTCAAGGCTAGCCATTTGTCGGGCAAAGTGCTAAAATAACTTGAATAGAATTTTGAGTCATATATGGTAGCCAACTGACCTTATCAAATTACTTGATTTTAAGTACTATTGTTTGCTTCTTTTTACCCAGCGAGGGGCTTGTGGTAGGTTAAATGAAGGCCTACGTTGTATACTATTATAACCTAATAATGACACACACAAACTTTGTTGAAGCTTTTTAAGTATAAATAAATGACTAGCCTTTCAGCAGCATAATAATATGCCGTAAAAGTCCGAAAATAAGCACCCAGGCTGATAGTTTTTCAAAGGCCCTTTTTGAGGGGCTTTTATACGGAGGGAAAGGGGAGGGACATTTGCGTCTTAAAATCGATTGGGCTAGAGGTTTAACTGAAACTCGCCATGGCGACCTAGGTCTTTCTAAAACTCTGCCATGCGAGTACTTTGGCTATATGGATCGAAGGAGTTCAAGCCAAGAGTGAATAGTGAACTGCGCAAACAGCAATACACTGTGACACTTCTTGATTGCAATCATTTGGCACGAGGAATAGTTCTTTGGCAAATTAAAAACATTATGTGTTACTGTACCGTTTTTAATTTGTTTTATTTTGTATTTGAGGGCAATTTCCAAGTACAAGCCCCTGGGGGACTTATATTCGGAGGGGCGATTAAATGGAAGGTTGTTTTGCGTTACGAGTTTGTTTATTTGCAGGGGGCTTAAACATGGAAGGGCTTATTTTCAGAATTTTACGTTAACTTTCCATTTATATGTAACATGCTAACAGCACTGATAGAGATGAGATTTCAGTGCTACCTACCTTACTTGGTGTCTGTGAGCACCATTTTTGCTTTCCTCTGACTGTGAGTACTTCATCTGTAGGTTTCTTTTTGCAAATCAGATGAACGCCTTGTCTTACCTCAAGGAGGTGAAGACAATCTTCATGAGAACACGCAATCTGATTGTGGCTTGAGTATTTTTCCCGCTGACAATACGGACAGGCGACCCGAATATGATACTGCAATCCACCTTTATAGAGATCACGTGACAAAGCTTGCAAAGTTGCCTCCACAAACTCACGAACCTGCACTGCCATCTCACTTGTCTCATCGAGAGAGATCTGCTGAGGGTGGTTTCTTTGCTTGATAAAGAACTTAATAAACTGCTTCTTAAAAATAGGAACAAAATCATGGACAGTTTTCTTCTCAATAACAAACCACGCTCCATTTTGGTACAGGGTAGGGGGCTGAGTTGGACCAGCCTCAGAACACCAACGGACAGATTGAGAAACAAGTCGAGTGAACAGACCATGGGGAACAGAGCCGCTGACGAAGTAAACATACAGAGGACAAGGGTCCAGCCTTTAGGGCGCCATGGAACAAAGGGAATCAGGCGAAGCTTTGAGTTGAGATAGAACAAAATACTTTTCACCTGTCTTTGAAGATGGAAATTTTGCAATCAATCCAAATTGTTCCATCAGATCAAGAATGTCTTTCCTGGCAACGCCCTCCAGAAGAAATTTGGAAAACACATGATCAAGCAGTTCCATGCTGAGAACACCGCTTTCTTCGACTTCCTTCCAGTGCTTTGCAAACTTAGGGACCTAAGACGGAATAACAAGAGGAATGTAAAGAAATTATTTTTCGCAAGAAAGGTCTTATTCAGGATATTGTGCAAGTTAATAACATTCGCTGCTCATTTTAGGTGTTACGTTTCAAGAGAATTGTAAATATAGCGAACACGTACGTGCTAAGTTGATTAAGGCAAATACTGTAAGTGTCTGTTTGTATTAAGATCTTTACGGAAGGAAGGTTTCAGTCAAGGTGAAGTAGACCACCTATTTAGCGCCTTAGTTTTACCGAATTTCATTTAAGGTCTGTAGACTCAGATCTAACGGTCATACAAAACTTTCTGGATAGATGCTTTAAAAGGAAATACACATCTTTAAGAGAATGGACATCCGAGAACTTTTAGAAAAGGCAGATAAAAATCTTTTCAAGGTACGTTCAGTGGATCCCGATTGCCAGCTTAGTAACATTATTCCGAAGAAGAAAGAAACAAAGTATCAACTCAGAAACAAAAGTGCTCATCGCCCGGATATAAAGACTGATACATTTAAGAATGTTTTTGTAAATAGGCTTATTTTTAGATATAATTGTTATAAAGTAGTTGCTGTTAGTTCTGTTTTGGAGTTTTGGTATTTTTAAGGTTTTTCTATCCGAATGATTATTTTGTAGCACGCGCTAGTTTCTTAATAAACAGTTCATAGTCCAAGGAAAGTCAATGTATAGGCCACACGGTTAGTTCCTGAGTTTTGAGAAGTATCGTCTATCGAAAGGATTTGTTAAGCTTGTTGTAGTTCTTTGAAGTAAGCATGTTCGGAGATTATAGCTGACCTTGAATTTTGCCTCCACTGAAGTTTCTGTTTTGTATGATTGGTCCTATATAGCAAGCAGTTTTACCGCTAGCATTCAATTGGCTCTTCAGTACCTGTTAATTGCGACAGTGTAGACTATTCTATCGTTCACAAGTTCAGCGACAGGATATGCAATGGAAGGGTCTCATGGTCAGCTAACCCAAACACGTCCACAATTTCGTTATTTAATTCGCTGTGTAAGCTAGTAGCGTTAGTTGAGTAGTAGAGTTGTTGTCAGAAGCTTTTGAAGAATAAACTGCTGTCTAAGGAGAACGAACAGAGTCTTGGTCCTCTTCGTTAAGAAGCCAAGCGAGCTACACAAGCCCCCAACATAATCATTGATCTTTCTATTATTTGTATACAGTATGTCTTATGTATTTTTAGACTCCCAACTGCTGATGTAACTTAAGATAAGTCTTTTTATCTTAGGAGGAATAAAGATTGATTGATTGATTTGATTGATTGAATGATCACAAAACTATTCAAGATAGCTTTCTTCCAGGATCATTTTACATTTCTAAATGTTATATTAATAAGTTTTAGCAAGTTCTCTAAAAGAAATAAACTACTTAACATTTTAAGTAAACATTCAAGGAAAACTTTCCTCCTTGTAATTTGCGGATTTGTGTGAGGACACATATAAAATGGAAATTACGAAAGACTGCCTAGAAAGTACAACTGTGAATAAATCTCTCTTGGGGCGAAAAAAGATCATAACCTTTTTAACAGACCTCAGATTTTAAATCTATAGAATGTTCTTTAAAGCGCCACGAAAAAGCCAGAATCCTCTATTTGGTTTACTCGCCGGAAAATTCTTACGGTCCAAATTTCACTTCCACAAACTATAAAAGCGCGTTCTGATTGGTCGACATAAAGAGTCGCTGGTTTCAGCACACGTATATATGTATCTTTCCACTCTTTTTTGTTGTGAGACGTTCCTTTAAGACTACATTTGAGGATAATTCTACAAGTCATGCAATGTACTTCCATTGCACCCCTATAAAGGTAGATTGTGCTGATGACACACACGAAAGATAGCTTGCAATGCATGTGACATAATCATTTTTATTTGTTACGGCACGGTTTGACAACCGTGATGTCATCCAAAATGGGGGCCGTTATAAAACATGGCAAGTTTAAAAACACGTTAAATTGTATTTCTTACCATTTTCGTAAAATCTGGAATAGTGACCAGCTGCCCGAACAAGTCTATCAGCCACTGGGTACTCAAGATGACTGTGCTACGGTGCTTGATAATTATCCTCAGGTCATGATAGAAATTCACCATAGTAGTAAACTCTTCCTCTTCATCGATGAAGCACTTCTCCTTGGTATGGGTCCGTAGCTTTGTTATACTCAGGTAATAAACTGGCTTGGACAGCAAAGCGTTGATGACTTTCTCAAAGTTCAGCCACCTAGTTTACAAAACCAAAGAGAAAATTGATATAAGTACCCATGCCACGACACAGTATACCTGTCCTGACTAAAGTACAGGGCCCAGTTGTGCGAAAGGTGGATAACTGTATCCAGTGGATAAATATCTGTGTGTGATCCACTTTACTTTACCATTCTAAAACGACAATTGAAATGTACACAGTGCTTTTTGGTCAATTCGTAATAACGTTATCAAACCCTTTAGGGTAGAATATTCCTTAAGGCCAGTCAAAACTGCTTTTCATGGTGAACTTGTTTCAGACAACGAGATATTCATTTCTTATGAGGCTTTCTCTGCAATTCCGAACCTTAGTGGGAACTCATGGAATTTCGCGCCAGTGTCAAAAAATATTTGCATTCGCTTAGTTAGTTGGACTGCACCAATGACTATGATTGCACATTATGCCGTTTGTATTAATTTATTGAGCTTTTGCCATAGTTTTCAACCCTCACCCTAACCTACAAAATGCACAGAGTCGAATAGATATCCACAAGTAGACGAAATTGCAAGATACGATGCCTGGAGACTTCCCGCCGTCTTTCCCAATTTGTAGGAGAGGAGATATACAAGGTTGTTCCTTTTCTGTTTATAAATTATCGTATTTATATGGCACTCAATGAGACAATGAAAACCATTCTTCTTTACGTTTGACGTAGCAAATATAGAAATAACCTGCGATCAGGCCTCCCAAAGAAAATGGGAAAATCTAAGGACCGCCTGATCGCAGGTTAATGAAGAAAAATCAGATATAGTGAGAGATTCCCTCCCGGCCCAGGATATCATCTAGCAAACAAAAGCAGATTGTTTACTTTTTTCCTTGTTAGCGTATATGCTTTATCTTGTAAACGACTTTTAAAAACCGTTAGCACCGAGTGTGAATTTATTTGCAGCGTACGCGTATCGGCCAAATGCGACTGCTAGACGCAAATACTGCAAATAAATCCCCTTGTTTAAAAAAAAAAATTACCAACCATGTTTGTGCTCATTTATCCTTTTACGAGCCAGATATTTTGCATAAGCAATGACATCATGCAAAGATTTACTTATAACGAAAAAAATCGAGATACCTTTTACAGTATAATGGAATCAATTTCACACCTCGGAAAAATGGCTCTAACTTCCGCTAGATTGGAAAACCCTAATGCTCCAGTAGTCAATCGTCGTGTGCGCGGGAGATCTTTACCGTGGATTACACCTACTATAAAGGACTTGATGAAAAAGCGCGATTATCATCACAAAAAAGCCATTAAAACTAACAAAGAGCTTCACTGGATCAGCTACAAAAGGTTGCGTAACGCTGTGTCGATGAAACTTCGTAAGGAAAAAGCCAGTTATTATTCAAATCAGCTATGTGAAAAACATAGCCTGTACACAGGCTATGAAAAACAGGACTCGCGTAAATTGTGGAAAACTCTGAACGAGCTTATACCAAACAAGAAGCAACACAGAACTGCGAATGCTCCAGCCTTTGAAAATTTAACGGCTACTAGCTTTAATGAGTTTTTCACGTCAGTTGTTGAGAAACTATGTGGTCATTACAAAAGTAAGACCAGGCTGCCCGATATTTTAACTCCTAGAGTTGCGCAAAACTTTGTTGTTCAAAAGGTGTCAACTAACTTTGTTTTGAAGTAATATTTCAAAAACGATCTGGCAACGCCCTCCAGAAGAAATTTGGAAAACACATGATCAAGCAGTTCCATGCTGAGAACACCGCTTTCTTCGACTTCCTTCCAGTGCTTTGCAAACTTAGGGACCTAAGACGGAATAACAAGAGGAATGTAAAGAAATTATTTTTCGCAAGAAAGGTCTTATTCAGGATATTGTGCAAGTTAATAACATTCGCTGCTCATTTTAGGTGTTACGTTTCAAGAGAATTGTAAATATAGCGAACACGTACGTGCTAAGTTGATTAAGGCAAATACTGTAAGTGTCTGTTTGTATTAAGATCTTTACGGAAGGAAGGTTTCAGTCAAGGTGAAGTAGACCACCTATTTAGCGCCTTAGTTTTACCGAATTTCATTTAAGGTCTGTAGACTCAGATCTAACGGTCATACAAAACTTTCTGGATAGATGCTTTAAAAGGAAATACACATCTTTAAGAGAATGGACATCCGAGAACTTTTAGAAAAGGCAGATAAAAATCTTTTCAAGGTACGTTCAGTGGATCCCGATTGCCAGCTTAGTAACATTATTCCGAAGAAGAAAGAAACAAAGTATCAACTCAGAAACAAAAGTGCTCATCGCCCGGATATAAAGACTGATACATTTAAGAATGTTTTTGTAAATAGGCTTATTTTTAGATATAATTGTTATAAAGTAGTTGCTGTTAGTTCTGTTTTGGAGTTTTGGTATTTTTAAGGTTTTTCTATCCGAATGATTATTTTGTAGCACGCGCTAGTTTCTTAATAAACAGTTCATAGTCCAAGGAAAGTCAATGTATAGGCCACACGGTTAGTTCCTGAGTTTTGAGAAGTATCGTCTATCGAAAGGATTTGTTAAGCTTGTTGTAGTTCTTTGAAGTAAGCATATTCGGGGATTATAGCTGACCTTGAATTTTGCCTCCACTGAAGTTTCTGTTTTGTATGATTGGTCCTATATAGCAAGCAGTTTTACCGCTAGCATTCAATTGGCTCTTCAGTACCTGTTAATTGCGACAGTGTAGACTATTCTATCGTTCACAAGTTCAGCGACAGGATATGCATCAGAATATAGGAACTGTCCTTCAGTTCAACTATGGATTTAGCGGCAATGTCGTATCCTTTAAGACTAAAGTCTTCCAAATCACCGCGACCGAAGCTCAATACTCTGAAATTTACACCATCATGTGCAGCATTTTTAATATTTGAGAACTCTGCAAAGGAACCTGGTATTAGTTGACAGATATCTTGATGATATAAACGCAACTTGCACGAGAAAGCTTCTTTTAACTTGGGTCCAACGGCTACAACGAGGTCTTCATTTTGACAAAGTTCAACTTCAGCTGTGTTCTTCTCTTCTCCCTTGGCAATGGCACTTGGATAGTTCTTATGCATCGCCAGCTGTTCAGGCTCAGTGTGAACAACCTGCACCCAATTGCAGTGATGAGATTTTCTGATCATTTGTGCTTGTTTGCCAAGCTTTGCTCCATGGCCGATGACAACCTGAATGTCAAGGTTCTCTGGTGGAACGATCAACCAATCAAGAGGATCACTGAAGCCAGGAAGATGCCCTGCTTCTACAATGGGAATGTTGTAACTTTTGGCAACTCTCTTGTCTTTTTCTCCACACTCAAATTCAGGTACAAGAATGGTCACTTCTACGTGTGGGTCTTTTGCCAAATGTATGGCAAGAGTTCTGTTTATTGTGGACAAGCCACCTCTAGACAACCCCCATTCGTTCTCCAGGAGGGTAACTTTCAATATTAACCGTTCTGAATGACCTTGTTCAGCATCAGATGATGACGATGATGATGGTGGTGGTGATGATGGAGTACACAAGTCCTGTACAGAAACCAAAACTGGAAATTTTAAAATAGAAAGCGTACACCTGGGGTGCTTATCGCTTTGAAAGAAAGTTTGCAAAACATGTTATCATCCAGTTAGAAGCTATAAACTTATCGTTTGACTGTAAAGCAAACAGCTTGTTAAGAAAGACTTGAGAAACGGTTATGAATACCCACTGCTATGGCTGCAGTAGGTATTTAACAACAGAGTTGATGATGTTAATTGGCCACTGTAAAGAGATTCTCAGTTCAAGGCTAGCCATTTGTCGGGCAAAGTGCTAAAATAACTTGAATAGAATTTTGAGTCATATATGGTAGCCAACTGACCTTATCAAATTACTTGATTTTAAGTACTATTGTTTGCTTCTTTTTACCCAGCGAGGGGCTTGTGGTAGGTTAAATGAAGGCCTACGTTGTATACTATTATAACCTAATAATGACACACACAAACTTTGTTGAAGCTTTTTAAGTATAAATAAATGACTAGCCTTTCAGCAGCATAATAATATGCCGTAAAAGTCCGAAAATAAGCACCCAGGCTGATAGTTTTTCAAAGGCCCTTTTTGAGGGGCTTTTATACGGAGGGAAAGGGGAGGGACATTTGCGTCTTAAAATCGATTGGGCTAGAGGTTTAACTGAAACTCGCCATGGCGACCTAGGTCTTTCTAAAACTCTGCCATGCGAGTACTTTGGCTATATGGATCGAAGGAGTTCAAGCCAAGAGTGAATAGTGAACTGCGCAAACAGCAATACACTGTGACACTTCTTGATTGCAATCATTTGGCACGAGGAATAGTTCTTTGGCAAATTAAAAACATTATGTGTTACTGTACCGTTTTTAATTTGTTTTATTTTGTATTTGAGGGCAATTTCCAAGTACAAGCCCCTGGGGGACTTATATTCGGAGGGGCGATTAAATGGAAGGTTGTTTTGCGTTACGAGTTTGTTTATTTGCAGGGGGCTTAAACATGGAAGGGCTTATTTTCAGAATTTTACGTTAACTTTCCATTTATATGTAACATGCTAACAGCACTGATAGAGATGAGATTTCAGTGCTACCTACCTTACTTGGTGTCTGTGAGCACCATTTTTGCTTTCCTCTGACTGTGAGTACTTCATCTGTAGGTTTCTTTTTGCAAATCAGATGAACGCCTTGTCTTACCTCAAGGAGGTGAAGACAATCTTCATGAGAACACGCAATCTGATTGTGGCTTGAGTATTTTTCCCGCTGACAATACGGACAGGCGACCCGAATATGATACTGCAATCCACCTTTATAGAGATCACGTGACAAAGCTTGCAAAGTTGCCTCCACAAACTCACGAACCTGCACTGCCATCTCACTTGTCTCATCGAGAGAGATCTGCTGAGGGTGGTTTCTTTGCTTGATAAAGAACTTAATAAACTGCTTCTTAAAAATAGGAACAAAATCATGGACAGTTTTCTTCTCAATAACAAACCACGCTCCATTTTGGTACAGGGTAGGGGGCTGAGTTGGACCAGCCTCAGAACACCAACGGACAGATTGAGAAACAAGTCGAGTGAACAGACCATGGGGAACAGAGCCGCTGACGAAGTAAACATACAGAGGACAAGGGTCCAGCCTTTAGGGCGCCATGGAACAAAGGGAATCAGGCGAAGCTTTGAGTTGAGATAGAACAAAATACTTTTCACCTGTCTTTGAAGATGGAAATTTTGCAATCAATCCAAATTGTTCCATCAGATCAAGAATGTCTTTCCTGGCAACGCCCTCCAGAAGAAATTTGGAAAACACATGATCAAGCAGTTCCATGCTGAGAACACCGCTTTCTTCGACTTCCTTCCAGTGCTTTGCAAACTTAGGGACCTAAGACGGAATAACAAGAGGAATGTAAAGAAATTATTTTTCGCAAGAAAGGTCTTATTCAGGATATTGTGCAAGTTAATAACATTCGCTGCTCATTTTAGGTGTTACGTTTCAAGAGAATTGTAAATATAGCGAACACGTACGTGCTAAGTTGATTAAGGCAAATACTGTAAGTGTCTGTTTGTATTAAGATCTTTACGGAAGGAAGGTTTCAGTCAAGGTGAAGTAGACCACCTATTTAGCGCCTTAGTTTTACCGAATTTCATTTAAGGTCTGTAGACTCAGATCTAACGGTCATACAAAACTTTCTGGATAGATGCTTTAAAAGGAAATACACATCTTTAAGAGAATGGACATCCGAGAACTTTTAGAAAAGGCAGATAAAAATCTTTTCAAGGTACGTTCAGTGGATCCCGATTGCCAGCTTAGTAACATTATTCCGAAGAAGAAAGAAACAAAGTATCAACTCAGAAACAAAAGTGCTCATCGCCCGGATATAAAGACTGATACATTTAAGAATGTTTTTGTAAATAGGCTTATTTTTAGATATAATTGTTATAAAGTAGTTGCTGTTAGTTCTGTTTTGGAGTTTTGGTATTTTTAAGGTTTTTCTATCCGAATGATTATTTTGTAGCACGCGCTAGTTTCTTAATAAACAGTTCATAGTCCAAGGAAAGTCAATGTATAGGCCACACGGTTAGTTCCTGAGTTTTGAGAAGTATCGTCTATCGAAAGGATTTGTTAAGCTTGTTGTAGTTCTTTGAAGTAAGCATGTTCGGAGATTATAGCTGACCTTGAATTTTGCCTCCACTGAAGTTTCTGTTTTGTATGATTGGTCCTATATAGCAAGCAGTTTTACCGCTAGCATTCAATTGGCTCTTCAGTACCTGTTAATTGCGACAGTGTAGACTATTCTATCGTTCACAAGTTCAGCGACAGGATATGCAATGGAAGGGTCTCATGGTCAGCTAACCCAAACACGTCCACAATTTCGTTATTTAATTCGCTGTGTAAGCTAGTAGCGTTAGTTGAGTAGTAGAGTTGTTGTCAGAAGCTTTTGAAGAATAAACTGCTGTCTAAGGAGAACGAACAGAGTCTTGGTCCTCTTCGTTAAGAAGCCAAGCGAGCTACACAAGCCCCCAACATAATCATTGATCTTTCTATTATTTGTATACAGTATGTCTTATGTATTTTTAGACTCCCAACTGCTGATGTAACTTAAGATAAGTCTTTTTATCTTAGGAGGAATAAAGATTGATTGATTGATTTGATTGATTGAATGATCACAAAACTATTCAAGATAGCTTTCTTCCAGGATCATTTTACATTTCTAAATGTTATATTAATAAGTTTTAGCAAGTTCTCTAAAAGAAATAAACTACTTAACATTTTAAGTAAACATTCAAGGAAAACTTTCCTCCTTGTAATTTGCGGATTTGTGTGAGGACACATATAAAATGGAAATTACGAAAGACTGCCTAGAAAGTACAACTGTGAATAAATCTCTCTTGGGGCGAAAAAAGATCATAACCTTTTTAACAGACCTCAGATTTTAAATCTATAGAATGTTCTTTAAAGCGCCACGAAAAAGCCAGAATCCTCTATTTGGTTTACTCGCCGGAAAATTCTTACGGTCCAAATTTCACTTCCACAAACTATAAAAGCGCGTTCTGATTGGTCGACATAAAGAGTCGCTGGTTTCAGCACACGTATATATGTATCTTTCCACTCTTTTTTGTTGTGAGACGTTCCTTTAAGACTACATTTGAGGATAATTCTACAAGTCATGCAATGTACTTCCATTGCACCCCTATAAAGGTAGATTGTGCTGATGACACACACGAAAGATAGCTTGCAATGCATGTGACATAATCATTTTTATTTGTTACGGCACGGTTTGACAACCGTGATGTCATCCAAAATGGGGGCCGTTATAAAACATGGCAAGTTTAAAAACACGTTAAATTGTATTTCTTACCATTTTCGTAAAATCTGGAATAGTGACCAGCTGCCCGAACAAGTCTATCAGCCACTGGGTACTCAAGATGACTGTGCTACGGTGCTTGATAATTATCCTCAGGTCATGATAGAAATTCACCATAGTAGTAAACTCTTCCTCTTCATCGATGAAGCACTTCTCCTTGGTATGGGTCCGTAGCTTTGTTATACTCAGGTAATAAACTGGCTTGGACAGCAAAGCGTTGATGACTTTCTCAAAGTTCAGCCACCTAGTTTACAAAACCAAAGAGAAAATTGATATAAGTACCCATGCCACGACACAGTATACCTGTCCTGACTAAAGTACAGGGCCCAGTTGTGCGAAAGGTGGATAACTGTATCCAGTGGATAAATATCTGTGTGTGATCCACTTTACTTTACCATTCTAAAACGACAATTGAAATGTACACAGTGCTTTTTGGTCAATTCGTAATAACGTTATCAAACCCTTTAGGGTAGAATATTCCTTAAGGCCAGTCAAAACTGCTTTTCATGGTGAACTTGTTTCAGACAACGAGATATTCATTTCTTATGAGGCTTTCTCTGCAATTCCGAACCTTAGTGGGAACTCATGGAATTTCGCGCCAGTGTCAAAAAATATTTGCATTCGCTTAGTTAGTTGGACTGCACCAATGACTATGATTGCACATTATGCCGTTTGTATTAATTTATTGAGCTTTTGCCATAGTTTTCAACCCTCACCCTAACCTACAAAATGCACAGAGTCGAATAGATATCCACAAGTAGACGAAATTGCAAGATACGATGCCTGGAGACTTCCCGCCGTCTTTCCCAATTTGTAGGAGAGGAGATATACAAGGTTGTTCCTTTTCTGTTTATAAATTATCGTATTTATATGGCACTCGATGAGACAATGAAAACCATTCTTCTTTACGTTTGACGTAGCAAATATAGAAATAACCTGCGATCAGGCCTCCCAAAGAAAATGGGAAAATCTAAGGACCGCCTGATCGCAGGTTAATGAAGAAAAATCAGATATAGTGAGAGATTCCCTCCCGGCCCAGGATATCATCTAGCAAACAAAAGCAGATTGTTTACTTTTTTCCTTGTTAGCGTATATGCTTTATCTTGTAAACGACTTTTAAAAACCGTTAGCACCGAGTGTGAATTTATTTGCAGCGTACGCGTATCGGCCAAATGCGACTGCTAGACGCAAATACTGCAAATAAATCCCCTTGTTTAAAAAAAAAAATTACCAACCATGTTTGTGCTCATTTATCCTTTTACGAGCCAGATATTTTGCATAAGCAATGACATCATGCAAAGATTTACTTATAACGAAAAAAATCGAGATACCTTTTACAGTATAATGGAATCAATTTCACACCTCGGAAAAATGGCTCTAACTTCCGCTAGATTGGAAAACCCTAATGCTCCAGTAGTCAATCGTCGTGTGCGCGG